ATTGGCAGTAAATAACAGAACGCAATCTTAATTTATATTTAAATTTTAGAATTTGTTCCCCTTTTAACGTATGAAAAATATCCCTAACATATCCTATAGAAATCCTTAAGATGTTCCATAGGATCTCCCTGGATTCTCCAGAGGCTAGTGTACGGCTATCATTTACTCTTCCTCAGGACATCCAGAGGAGATCCGAGGATTAAAATAGGATATCCTCAGGATATCCTACATGTATGTCCTGGATGCCCTTTGGACGTCCTAAGGACATCCTTGTGCTGTCTGGGATGGTGTCGTATTTTCCGAAACTTCCTTTCACGAAAACGTATGTGAACGCATGGAGCAATGCTATCGGATACATGGCGATACCAATAGATACAACATTTTTCATCTAATAGAATTACATCTCGATTTTAGCAACAAGGTATTTGCATTTCCTCTTTCGCAATGTCTTATACACAACGCAATGCACTTACAACTTCCATTTATAGCTAACGTTAACACAGTATAATTTTATAGTACGCAGACTATAAAATCAATGAAGATAAATTTAATAAAGCATTTAAAACACAAAGGCATCGACTATACTAACTTTTACATTTGTCTTAATGGATAATAAATATCATTTTTTTATTTATATTTTTTTTATCGTGTCTTTCTATCATATAATAGGTTAGAAATTTTTTCTTATAAGCAAGCCCTACTACTTCGAACTTTAATACAAATTTTGCTTTGGCTTTAAACCTTTGCTCATTTTCCGTCATTTCGCTGTAAAATCAGAATCAGCCACATTCTTACGGATTATTCTTTACTCATCGCTTTGCTTTATTCATTGTGCGTTATTTTTATTCATATTTCATTGTACGCCAGCTTTATTAAAGATGCCGAAAAGGGTGAAGGTCGCGGAAGGATCTCATGCAAATCTCATGCAAATTGTCGTCCCGGCGCGGAAATAGCGATGACTGCGGCTGCTTTGAGAGAAAAGAGTGGGGCTGATGTACCAACCGTCTTAAAAAGCGTTACGCCCCGACGATCAACCGTCACCTTTTTCCTCCGACATGCAGACGACGAGCAGAATGAAAAAGATCGAGTTAATATGCGTCCTGTGGCAACGTGGAATAATTCCGCGAATCTTTTGTCACCCTTTGTCACATCCACGAGCCTAAAGATGTCCTCTCTCTCTCTCTCTCTCTCTCTCTCTCTCTCCCTCCCTCTCTCCCTGCTCCCTTCCTCTCTCTCTTCCCCCTCCCCCACTTTCTCTCCCTCCCTTCCTCTTTCTCTTTCTCTCTCCCTCCCCTCTCCCGTTGTCTTGTGAGTATACATAGACGTGCTTCTTATCGCTCTGCATTTATGGGGTAACACCTATATAGCGGCCTGTTTCCAACACCTAATTTTGAGAATTTTTTTGGGGAAGAGAAAAGAATTAATCGAAAATTCATTCACGTAGGTTTATTACACATGTCTTGAGGAATACAAATTAATTTTTTCATGTGATTAATACACAAAATGGCGGCTGTAGCGACTCGAGAACGCAGGGCCTTTTTTTTAAGCGGCCGGATAAATAGAGACCGCAAATCTTGATCTGGAACAAAAACCCAAAATTTTTCTTAATTTACATACCAAAAGCTAGAGAAAACCGTAGGGGATTTTATAAATATTGATTTTTGTGAAAATAGCATGCATTTGAAAAAAAAGTTTTATTTTTCGCCAAAAAAATTCATCGAAAATTGTTTATAAAATGAAAAGTTTTCAATATTTTGCAAAATCCCTATGCTTTTTTCTAGCTTTTGGTATGTAAATTAAGAAAAATTTTGGGTTTTTGTTCCAGATCAAGATTTGCGGTCTTTATTTATTCGGCCGCTTAAAAAAAAAGGCCCTGCGTTCTCGAGTCGCTACAGCCGCCATTTTGTGTATTAATCACATGAAAAAATTAATTTGTATTCCTCAAGACATGTGTAATAAACCCACGTAAATGAATTTTCGATTAATTATTTTCTCTTCCCCCAAAAAATTCTCAAAATTAGGTGTTGAAAACAGGCCGCTACATAGGTGTTACCTCTTAAGAAATATTTTCTGCTGATGTCCGCCCCTCGGGGCCTTGATTTTTTGCATAGGACTGTCAAAGTGATATTACTTAACCTTTTTACATTCTGTTTGTCGGACGGGGCGGTGCCGTGAGTTCATCCGTTTATTCTGAGTTGCGGATCGGCGAGATTTTCCCGATCGTGGTGTCGGTTGACGGTGAGACGCGAAGCGCACGTGCGTGACGGCGGATCCTTTGTTTTCCAGGCGAAACCAACAAACCGAGATGTCAAAACAAGACACAGGAACACAACACTCCGAGGTCTTGGAGGTGAGCGCGGTGCCTATGTGAATAGGCGAGATCTCACGAAACGGCTTTCCCGTTTAAACTTGATGGGTATGTAGGATGAATCTGCGAGTGGTGCAAATAATATTTTGAATGTTTCTCGTATTAATGCACTAAGAAATTCGATAGCTAGACATAATGATAATGTAGTTAGAACGCTTCTGACTAGTAAGGAGACCGTTGAAAAAAGACAGCAGATTGAGTCGGCTTTCCGCGCCTGTAAGGAGGCCTTTTTCGATCTTTCATCTGCTTGTCTTTTTATGCTTGAGAATGGCGGAGCGATGTCGGCTCCTTCCTTAAATAAGGTAAAGGATGTCATTGCGGGTGCGCTTTCCGAATTTCGTGCTGCGCTTCCCTCGGCGCTTCCCTCTGGCGCTCGAGTGGTGGCGGGGAGCGGTCTTCCGGGCGCTTCTCGTTCTTTTGCGTCGGTTGTTGGATCCGATGGAGCGAGGGTAAGTGTTACACATGGTCCCTTCCTTGAAGTACCGAAGACCACCAACTTATTAGTAGTGCCGAGGGATGATAAAACGGAGAAATTTGAAACATCGAGGGACACAAAAAGGAAGCGCTCATAAAAGCGATTAAACCTTCTGACTTCGATCTAAAGGTTAAGAGAATTTCGTCGGCACGTAACAACGGAATTCGCATTGAAGCTCACTCCGTTAATCTGAGTAAAATGAAGGACTCTGCTGAACTTGTCAGAGCCGGACTCAGGATTAAGCAGGAGACCAAGCTTTAACCCTAGGCTACTTGTTCGCGGGGTTCCGTGCGAATTGTCCGCGGGAGAAGTCGAAGCAGAAATTGTGGCTCTGAACCTGAAAAACCAAGATAAATTAAAAGTCAAGGTCGTATATATATTTCCTACGAAAAGCAACCATCGGACGACTAGCTGTGTCATCGAGGTATCACCTGATATTTGTTGCCTTCTACTAAAAGAGGAACATATTTATATCACCTACTCTGCGTGCAGTTTCTCCGATTATGTAAGAGTGCTCCAGTGCTTTAGATGCCTTGCGATTGGTCATATTGTCGGGGACTGTAAATCCACTGCGCTCCGCGGTCACTGTACGGGGAACTATGAGTTGAATCCACTGCACAAAAAGAGAGACTGCCACCATTTGCGGAAACTGTAAAAGATGGCCATCAAATGAGGGATCTGTCCACGGGAAAAATGTCCAATCCTACGACGCAAGTTAACGGACAAAATCAAATATATTAACTATGGATAATACTGCTTTCGATCATCTATGAGTATGTCACGTAAACTGTCAATCCCTATTTGCTCATCTTGACGAGTTTCGCTCCTTTTTTGCAGCCTCGAACTATCACATCATTTGTTTATCGGAGACGTGGCTGAAGCCGCCAGTGTCTGATCACTTAGTTGCTCTTCGCGGTTAACAACTTTTTAAATGTGACAGGACGGGCAGGAATGGAGGTGGTGTAGCATTCCATCTTGCCAACACACCCCAGGCGAAAATTCTACAGCAGTCAGATAGCGAATACTGTAAAAAGCCTGAGTATCTTATTGCCGAGATTTCTCTCAGGGGTTGCTCCGAATTATTCTTGGCTATAGTTTATCGGCCCCCTCACTGTGGCCATCTCGCAGAATTCTTCAACATCTTCATAGAATTGCCTGCTTCTTGTAAACACTCTATTATCTTAGCCGATTTCAATGCTGACCTAAGTTTGATTACGTATGATTCGGAACAAATAGCATCGTTCGTTGAATCTTCTAATTTTTATCTGGTACCGTACAGACCTACTCATCATTCGCGTAATTCATTCTCGACACTGGATTTACTGGATTTCTGTATAATAGATGATGAGAATAAACTGGTGTCTTTTAGTCAGCATGATGTGTGCTTCCTCTCTAATCACGACTTGAATAACATCAAGTATAAAGTCAAGGTTGAACGCCTTCTCAAACGAACTATAAATGTTCGGGATTTCCGATCTTTCAACATCGACAGTTTCCGGAATGAACTCTCATCATATGACTGAAATTCTTTACTTAGTGCGCATGATGTAAATAATAAAATTAGCATACTTAACGACTTTTTCCTGAGATGCTATAATAGACATGCCTCTTATCGGAATATAAAGCCAAATCATTTACTGGCTCAGTGGTTGACGGGGGAAATCAAAACCAGGATGAGAGAGAAAGAGACAAGGCTAGGAGAGCTTAGAGAAGAAGAAGAAGTACTGTCCACTACGCAGTTTACAGAGCACTGAGAAACCAGGTCCAGCAACTTGTACGTGCAGCCAAACATGATCATTATCACAAGGCCTTCAACGACATACATGAACCGAACAACATCTAGAGAAGATTGCGTCATCTTGGTCTTATCAAACCAAAAGCTTCTAATACGAAATTTCTCTTCTCTATAGAAGAACAAAGTAATTATTTTTTGCATACTATGAACAATGTGGGAGACTCGGAGGACTCTGGGTTTTTTCATCTGGGAAATCAGATTTATGATGAGGCAAAATTTTACTGGAGCAACATTGAGTCGCAGACGGTCGTCAGGCCATTATCGCGCAATAAATCCAATGCTATGGGAGTGGATGGACTTACTGCAAGGTTAATATTTCTTGCCCTACCATGCATTTTGTCCTTCGTCATGCACATATTTAATTTCTGCCTCACTAACAGAGTATTTCCAGATACATGGAAGTCTGCGCTCATTTTTCCGATTCCAAAGGTCAAATGCCCTACTACTTGCAACAACACAGGCCAATTTCGATTCTGTGTACAATCTCTAAGGCACTCGAGCGCATTGCGTCGGAGCAGATAACCGGTCACCTTGAAGCCTTTGATTTGCTGGACCCACATCAAACAGCATACAGAAAAGGCTTCTTCACGCAAACGACTTTAATAAGAGTTATGGATGAGATGCGGCTAACAGCTGATCAAAGGAAAGTAACCGTTGCAGTATTCTTCGATTTTACCAAGGCCTTTGACAATGTCAATCATCACATACTTATTCGTAAGCTTAAACAACTTCACTTCTCCTGTGCTTTATTGAGATGATTGTGTGCCTACTTGCACCAAAGAAGACAGGCAGTACGTGATCCGATCTCGGGCGAAATTTCTTCTGTGAGGATGGTGACGAAGGGGGTCCACTACTACTAGGTCCATTATTATTTGTCCTGTACCTGTCTGATTTCAGAGGGGTACTGAGACATTGTAAGTATAACTTCCCAGATAGCAAGGTGTCGTCATTATAACGTCATTTTAAGGTCATTTCTCGTCAGATGACGTCAGTCGAAATAAATAATGACGTAACACAGACGTGATATTTTTGACGACATATTATCGTCACAGAAATAACGTCATTTAATCGTCTTTTTAAGGTTATTTACTGATCAATTAACTAATGTTGTTAAAATACGTCAATATTAAAATTAATAAATGTAATAAATAATAAATATTTTATGATACTTATAAAGTTTACATGACTTTCTGTTAAAAACCCTTGAAAATACGGTATTATTATATTACAAAACTATGAAATATTGTTTAATATTAATGATTGAATTTGATGTGCATGTTTATCTGATGTATATGTTTATGTCTGTGACTTAGGACCATCATTCTAACGTCACTTTTACGTCGTTTCAAAAGTGAATTTGACGTAACCAGTGACTAAAAAATGACGTTATAATGACGACATCTTGCTACTTGGGTTCTACGCTGACGATCTCTTAATTTATCTACACGCGGAACCAAAGGACCTGCACAACAAAATTTAAAAAGTCAACGATGATGTTATCAATATTGCAAATGGAGCAACAAACAACCAACTCTCGTTAAATGCCAACAAAACAATGGTTATGATTCTCGGTACTGCCAAATACATTAACAATATAGCAACTGAGGACTTATCAGGAATTATTGTTAATAACGATAGAGTTCCCTATAAGGAATCTGTGATTTATCTAGGGCTCACCATATCACGGACATTATCATGGAATAAACAAATTACCAAAACCGTCTCTAACCCAGAGAGAAACGTGAAGTCGAATAGATGTATAGTCGATGTCTATTCGACACGTCTAAAATAGATCGACTTTCGCATCTAAATAGACGTCATGATGGCCCTCTTTTAGACGTTTAATAAACATCTCATTTTTTAACGTTTTTTCGACGTCAAAAATAAGACCAATTACAGTGTTAATATATAATAACACATTAATGTGTAATATATATAGACAAATCTAAATAATTTAATTTATGAAATTAAAAGATTTTATTTATACGGAAGTTAATTAATTTTATCTTAAGTAGACAATAATGAATGACTTTCACTTATTCGGACACTTTATGTCCGATCGGGTATTTAGCTGTCCGATTTTCTAAAAATCAGTTCAATATCTGAATTTTCCTGTATCGTGTCAGAAATTAAACTGATATAAATAGTTGTTATCAATCGTCTTTTGCAGGCTTTATATACATTCAGACATACATCAAGACTAAACTTGAATACGAGTATATAGAATGAATAGTGCGCCGCATAGCGGTAAGCGAATGAACTATAAACCCGCGGCAGTCAATCACTAGCGGTTTTTCCGTAAAAGTATAATGTTCATTAAGGACTAATTAATATCGGTTATTATACATAATTATACGCTCAGCGGGTGGCAAAACAGAACAGACATATGATATGCTATCTCTTTCTCTCATTAGATATAGCCATAAACATCGTCAATCTCCAGACTCATATGATATATTGACAAAAATTTGACCTTGACGACACGAAGTGAATACTAGTGAATGACTACAAATACGTTTTATGAGATTATTTTTTCAACAACAGAATTTCTGTTTTTATTATGATGTTACATACATGTTGCGTTAACATTTACTTAAAGGTTTATTAGATGTCTATTAGATGACGAAAAGTAATTTACAGCCCAAAGAGTGTTTCATAAATAATGCACTGCTATTGTATGAATATTAAGTTTTAATAGTGTCTACAAAAATTCAATGACACAAAATTACATGGCATCTAATTCAGATATTTCTAAATGTTGTTTTAGACTAGATGGCTCCGACATCTAATAGATGTATATCCGATCTCGCGTCACACACACATACACACACACAATTTTATTTATATATACTTACTCACACTTACTACACTGTAAATAGCTTTTACACACTTATTTTCTATTTATTCTTTTTAATCTTATTTTCTATTGTTTAACGTGGACTATTTGTAAAACGTGCCGAGCGCTTTAGGGGATGCTATCCCGGAGCGTCTAATAAATAACGCTTATTCATTCATTCATTCATTCATTTATACATTCATTCGTCCTTCTCTCTCTCTCTCTCTCTCACATACACACACTTACTCACTCACTCACTCACTCACACACAATTTGAGTGAGAGAAAGAGAGAGGAAGGGGGGAGAAAGAAAGAGAACATACACACACAGGCACATATCTTATATATAATTACAAATATTTATATTCGATTATATGTGGACTTTTTCCCCCGAGTAGCTTTGCTACCAAAATTTCAATCAAATTTGCTTTAATATACAGGATGTCTCCAATTTAAATGTTAAAACTTTAGGAGCGTGTAGGGGACCGATAAACTAAGACAAAAAGTCCTATACCCTTATAATGATACATCTTGCTAATGTTACAGGACAGGGATAAAGCCAGAAATAGTAATGGATTTATGCGAAAATTTAGACGACGAGATAATAGGAATAATAGAGAAAATGCTGACCACTAATCACCCAAATACCTATACATTGACCAAAGCTCTAGCAGATTGTGCTGTCCAAGGGATTCCATGTTCTATAATTTTTATTTTATATATAGATTATACCTGTAATACCGTGAACATTATTTACCCAGCATGGAAATAGTTCTTGATAAGCGGCGCAGACAATACTCGGTCTACCGATCGCAATCGTTCGACCGAGTATTGTCTGCGCCGTTTATCAAGAACCATTTCCAGGCTGGGTAGAAACGGATAAATAATCTAATGCAATACCGTAAGAAATGCAGAATATCTTCGCGACAAAATATAATTCGATCAAAGATCTTTGAAGACTTTTACTTGTGAAATGTTTATATTTTTTTTATGTATAATTGAAAACTTACGTATATATCGATTCCTCAATTTCTCGTCGATCGGCGTTACTATAGGCCGTGCTAACATGAATGACGCTAATAAGATTTGTCATACGCCTGCACAAGTCTAGCATACGATCTGTGCCCTTTATGTTTAAATTAACGCCATTTTTCAATGGCTGATCAAAACGTACGGTGGCCGCGCTATGAGAAACAATATTATCTTGTTCTATTAACATATCCTTGTCTTCAGGCTGGAGTCCCATCTCCGGCATGCTCAGATCGCCCTTTACGGGAAAGATCTTATTTAAAGCGCCGGGAAATTCCGATCGTATCTTATCGAAAACCTGCAACAGATGAAAAAACCGTTTTTCGTAAGAAATGTTCATAGAGAAATGTATTCGTGGCGCAATATTTTTCTCGACGAACGTATTAACAGAGATAATTTTGCAGATAATAATTACGGAAAATAATCGTGAGAACGGTAATAATCGCGACCTTTCGTCGTACGTTTTGATGACTGTGTTTGACACTTCAAGTATAATCACGCCACAGGTGAAATATTTAAACAGTCTCCTCTATAGAAAAAGTTATACAGTTATAATCAATATTGCATTATAATTTAACATGCACGGATACTACTACGTCTATAAGAAATGTTAATTTGAAAAATATGAATGTAGCAAAAGTAATTTATGAAAAAATTAGAGAAGAGGTAAACTTCCATGTGCGCGCATTAAGATTTTGCATTCGATAATGTACACTGAAAAAAATGTACCAAATCCAAAAAAAAAAATTTTATTTAGAGAAATTATTTATTTAAATATTTACAAAAAGTAATTAGTTATTTCAATTAAGCAGTAAATACAGGGTGATATAAAGAAGTTGTAGAGGAAAAAGTTGAATGGTATAGAAAGATCTACTTTCCTACGAGTTTACTTTTTTCATAAATGCTACAATGCACCTAAAAAATGCAAATGCACTTTTTTCTTAAATGGAATTACGCATTAATTCCGCTTGCCTTGATTTCCGCGTTTTCGTAATGAGTGATTGCGCGGTCGCTCGGGCTTCGCGCGTGGCTCGCGTTGTCAGCGCTTCGCTTGGTCAACGTTCGTAACGTAATCTGTATCCGCGTTACACGTTGAGCAATGTCTTATCGTATAAAATAATATATCTCTAAAATAATATGTATCTAGTGATTCGTATATAGCCTTTTCGGGCTATAACAAAATGTAGATTGGTTCCTCGGAACAGCCTGCGTAAAAAAGTATTAGGGTACAATGTAAAAAAAAAAAAGTGAACTCGTAGAAAAGTAGACTTTCCTATATCATTCAACTTTTTCCTCTACAACTTCTATATATCTCTAACCAAACTCGAGATATAACCCGTCCCAATTGCGTGACTCACCCTGTATATTTGAATCAGTACTCTATTTCAAAAGAACTTAATTTGGGTAACTTTCAACTTATAAACATGCAATTTACAACAATATATATTTGAGACAGACTGTTTGAATTTAATCTTTTAGAATCTAAAAATGTTTAATTTGTGTTTCTTTCCCATGACATATATTTAAAGTATAATTCTATCAACGCTCACTTTCGACATATCCTTTGTTATTGTTTCTACAATACCTAATCTTGATGCAATTATTCAATTTTTGAAGACGTGTGGGATTTAGGCGGCCAGCAATATATTATAAGATTATTGGATTTGACGGAAAAAAACAATTAAGGGGAAAAACTGGCAAATAAGAGCCAAGACACAGATATCGATGCGCGAACTTATTTTTGTTAAATTTTATTAACTAATGTGCATTAAAAATGTACATTTAATGCATAAGATGATCTTTGTGATTATTTTTAAGACGCGTATATTTTGTTTTTTTCTATCCCGATATAAATACATATTCGAGCGTGTAACGAGTTGTTGTGTTTACTCTT